AAGAAATGTAACTTTTGTATCTGATAAGGTCAGTCAAGTACCCTCAGGATTTATCCTGTAACCCTGTACCGCACTTTGTAGATCCTTTGTCAGTGTCAGCCATGAGGCTGAGTCACGGCCATTGCTTGACCAATTTGCTCTCTGTGAAATCCTGAGAGAATGTTTTCTCTCCATGTGGCTCTCCCCACCCTCAACCAATTTTAATATCACTGTAAAGAAAAGTTCTAAAGATGAAGGAGCCAGATGTGGTGACATACACCGGTAATCCCATCCCAGCATTTGAGAGGCCACGGCAGGAGAACCACAGCCAGTTCTAGACTCCCCTGTATTACCAAGAGAGTCCACAGACAGCCTGGATTTCCTAGCAAGAACCTGTCTCCAAAAGCCAAAACAACAACAATAATAATAGAATAAACATATAGCCCTGTTGGGTGTGGTGGCACAAATCTGTAATCCCAGCACTTGGGAGGCTGAGGCAGGAGAAGCTCTGTGAGATCAAAGGCAGTCTGAACTACACAGTCAGACCCTGCCTTAAAAAAAAAAAATTCATATACTCCTTCACCTAGATTTTCTACTTCTATGGTATCCTTTATTTTTGGTTCCAGGGATTGAACTCAGGACATTGCATTTGCCAGGCAGGCCCTTATGCCACTGAACTATCTCCCTGGCCCCTGTTGTGTCCTTTTGCTTTTGAATTCTTTTCTTCTCTCTTTAAATATGTATATATATATGTGAACTCATATTCATGTATATGCGTCCATCATGTATGCATTCATATGGTTTTTTTTTTTTTGGAGGAACCGGGGATTGAACTCAGACCTTTGCGCTTGCTAGGGAAGCACTTATTCCACTGAGCCATCTCCCCAGCCCCTCATATGTTTCTTTTTTTTTAACTTTCTATTCATATGTTTTAAATTTTTTTTCAAAGTTTTATTGATAAACAGATAGCAATGAGGCAAGAGTTCCGGCCTTTTTCCCCCTGTGGTGCTGCTTGGCCTGCAGGTCTGTGTAGGGCAGCGGACGCGGGTCTATATTACACAGGATGGGTTTTGTTAAGGTTGTCAAGAATAAGGCCTACTTTAAGAGATACCAAGTGAAGTTTAGAAGACGACGAGAGGGAAAAACTGATTACTATGCTAGGAAACGCTTGGTAATGCAGGACAAAAATAAGTACAACACGCCTA